TCAGTGTCCGATTCTGAGTCCAAATCTGTTTCATTCATTTGCTTTTCTTGTGTAATATTTTGCAAAATCTGTTTGACGTCTAATGCCATCAGATAATGACTTTGAATGAGTTGGTGCTCGTCATCAGACACTGTCTGGTTGTGCAGCACTTGAATGCAATCAAACAAATCATTTAAACTCCACTCCAATCGTCGCAAACAAACAACTCTTTGTGTTTCTAAGCCCTCTCTGTAGTCAAGTTGCAAATGAATGGACCCCTCATTTGGATCCAACTCTTCATCTAATTGTTTGAGTCGATTGTAATTCATTAGCACTTCTTTGGCCATACAATTGACTCGATATATATTCCGGTTCGACATCATATCACATAACTTTATAACTATAAATCTTATATTTAAAAATGAAATGAAAAATATAAAATCTCGGACTTTACTCAGTATTTGATTTTAAATTGCCGATTAATAACTGATATAAAGTGTGTATAATGTAATTGTTGTCTCTATAATATTTAGGCGGCGAGTACGTACGCAAAAATTAGACCAAAAAATTAACCCCCCCCCTCCCCCCTCCCCCCTAGTTGCACATCGTACGCAAACCATTGAAAACATTATGAGTTACGGTAGTTTATTCACCAATTAACAACTAAATTATAAATGAACTCAGAATTTAAATGATAACTATATTCAAATGAAACCACATTAGATACATTAAAGTAAAAATTGTAATGTTTTAATTATAAAAACAAAATAAATTTAATTGAAGTATTAAAATTGAATAACTATGAAGATCTCATTGAATACTTATAGATTCATTTGCAAAGCTTTCATTTGATATGTTTTGGTTTTTGAGATGAATAAAATATTTTCTTTCATTATTTAAAACTAGAATAAAAATCATATAGAGAATGACCAGGGATAAAAAAGTGGACACACTTATGATATATAAGAAATTCTTAGACATCTGATAGCCATCGACTAATTTAATGTCTATAATATATAAAGCATTTTGATTTAATTAATTCTTTACTAATAAAGATCTTGTGACTTAAATAAATACCTTGATCACATTTACGAAAACCAGAATATTCCAAGCAACTGGAATTTTGTAGAGAATCAACAGATTTTTGGTATTCACTATTAAATTCAATGCATTGACTTTGGTTTTGATTATCTCCGCAATTATTGTAATTTGTGAAACAATCATAACTACAATTGATGTGATGGTAATAAAAACAGCAAAACGTTTTAGAGCTCACGGGAAACGGCTTGTTTGAAATACTCGGCCACAGAGACGTTGCCCGAGAATACCTTCAATACCTTCTCACTCTTCGGCCCCTTTTGGTCCACGAGAAGTGTATGTCTTGGGCGGCCTCTCGACTGATTCCGTGGACTTTGTACTTCTTGTGGAACCGGAGATGACTCACTTCGATGAACAGACTTTGAATGGAAACAAACTCTTCACGAAGTCCTCAACGGTTCCGTTGGTCCAGAAGGCAGTGCACGAGCGGTCGACCACCAGTTGGGCGCCTGGATGTGCTCGAAGGGAATGGCGTTCGTCTTCTTATTGAAGTATAGCTTCAAACCGTTCAGACTTATCGTATTTGCCATGTATTTGATAATAACGGCGAACTCTGAGTCTATCGACTGGTCGTCCGGCACTTCCACGAGAATACGCGTCGGCTTCCCATCGCTGGCGATACCTTCGAGACGATCCTTCGGCACAACTTCTCCGACAGCCTCCGGAAGCGTCTCCTCTCGTCTCCGGCGGCCGACAGCTTGAAGGCCAGCGGCAGACACTCGATGGACACCTGTATCTGTAGATCACTTTCTTGTGGTTGAAGTCGACCGTTGTGTCCAAATCCAGGTCTCGGCACGAATTGAGAGCACGAGAGGAAGCGCTCGTTCTTGAGGTGCAGACCCGCCCTCACGAGCGCCATCTTCGGCGTCGAGCCAGTCATTGGAGTCAACGACTCCACGGAATCCGGTTTCGGTGCCATCGCTCACACGATCACTGGTTATACGAGTGGACGTTGGGATCAGTTGGCGGTGATGTGCGCACTCGAGTGGTGTACGAGTGATGTGAGAGCAGTGGTGATGCGGTCATAGTCTTGAGACTCAAGAGATTCAATGAAAAGGCAGCGAAAGAGTGATTCAAAGGAAACGGTTTTGAAATGACAACGAATTCACGATTTCTACCACTTTTTGAATGACTTCTGCAGTCATTTCGCGTGACTTTCACTCTATTCTCGCATTCATTGCATTCTTGCAGTCATTACAGTCACCACTCGTTCACTGCTTTCTATGCCATTCACTGCCTTTGCGATCAACTCATTGCGAAATACTAACTATTTTTTAGACAATTGAGAGACAATTTGCTCTCTTTTTCTACGACCGGTTCGGCCAACAGATAAGAGTTCTCTGGAGACCAGAGGTCTTCAAGAGTCAGCCGTTTTCGATGTCATCGGCTCTTAAATGCGGTCTATTGTATGGCCAAAGAAGTGCTAATGAATTACAATCGACTCAAACAATTAGACCAAGAGTTGGATCCAAATGAGGGATCCATTCATTTGCAACTTAGAGAGGGCTTAGAAACACAAAGAGGTGTTTGTTTGCGACGATTGGAGTGGACTTTAAATGATTTGTTTGATTGCATTCAAGTGCTGCACAACCAGACAGTGACTGATGACGAGCACCAACTCATTCAAAGTCATTATCTGATGGCATTAGACGTCAAACAGATTTTGCAAAATATTACACAAGAAAAGCAAATGAATGAAACAGATTTGGACTCAGAATCGGACACTGAATGCCAACTGAGCACCAACTCATTCAAAGTCATTATCTGATGGCATTAGACGTCAAACAGATTTTGCAAAATATTACACAAGAAAAGCAAATGAATGAAACAGATTTGGACTCAGAATCGGACACTGAATGCCAACCGACACCAATCAGACAGACATTATCTGAACTAATAGACTGTAATCTCAATGAAATTCAAAACCAATCGGAAAATATGAAACGATTAATAAATATACTGAAATCGGTATCAAAATATATATTTAAAAGTTTAGGACTTTCCGATCTACAATTGGATTCGTATTTTAATTTTTATATTAAATAAATAAATGTTTTTTATATACAAATGTACAAAATAAAAACTAAAATTTTAAATATGAAATTAAAAAACTATTTCCTTTTGAACCGACCACTGGAACTGACTGTCAATTAGAAAATAAATAATACATTAAATCATTTATGAAACCAATCAAATGTATGACTAATTACTTGTCATAAGAGTCCACACAAAGTAAGTGAAAACCATAAGAGTGCTGAAGATTGCAATGATTGCAATCACCATTAAGACAATTTAAGATAACATCACCATAAGTGTGGTGTTATCGCTTGTTTCTTCATTTTTGCCACCTTTACAGCCAAATAAGTCTTTTGGTTTCATTTTGTTTGACTCACATTAAAAAGAAAAGTATATCAATTCAATTCATATAATAATTACATTGAAATTAATAAAACTACAATAAAAAGGTTTTTGGGATTGGATGGATTGTATTCGTAAATGTTAGAACTCTTTGGATCTCCTTTTTTGCTAATAATAGTCATCACTTTCTCATCCATTGTCCAGAAGAAGAGCGATTTAAATTCATAGCCGGCTTTACCGTAGATTTCCTGTTGACTCCAACTCTTGTTGCCGAGTCTTAAATCACTTATGGATCGCGTCATAAGAATTGGATTTTCATTAGAGTTGGGGTTTATTATTATGTACATAAACTTCTTATGGATGGGTGAGTGATTTCCTGTTGACTCCAACTCTTGTTGCCGAGTCTTAAATCACTTATGGATCGCGTCATAAGAATTGGATTTTCATTAGAGTTGGGGTTTATTATTATGTACATAAACTTCTTATGGATGGGTGAGTATGTGCTCACACCTTTCCTGCTTAGCCATAAGTCGGGCCAAAATATATACGACCGGCCTCCCACTCTACGAAGGCCTTCTCAATCAGATCCAATGGGTTTAACTTTCCTTGGAGGTAGTCTCCGACAATATATCTTGTGGACACTCTTGACACATCAATCCAATNATGTACATAAACTTCTTATGGATGGGTGAGTATGTGCTCACACCTTTCCTGCTTAGCCATAAGTCGGGCCAAAATATATACGACCGGCCTCCCACTCTACGAAGGCCTTCTCAATCAGATCCAATGGGTTTAACTTTCCTTGGAGGTAGTCTCCGACAATATATCTTGTGGACACTCTTGACACATCAATCCAATAGTAGGCAATGGTGTCAATTCGCATCTGATTGTCTCCGATCATTATATCTTGTGTTATATAACGACAGTCCGCTTTCTCTTCATCAGTCATTTCTCTACCCGTTTTGTACTCATATCCCATATATAGAGACTCGATATGAATCTCTGTTTCCTTAATACTGATTGAAATGAACAAAATGTGTAAACAAAATGCTAATATTGTATAGTATTTAATGACTGACCGATTGAGTTGTAAATCAAGTACTTATTGGTGTGTCTGCCGTAGAATATTGTGGTCAGGGTTTCCGTGGGATCCGTTGTGTTTGTATTCACTCGAGTAGTGATGGCATAGATGTAAGGCTTGTAACTATTAATTGCCTCAAAACTGTTTTACTTACAAAGTTGGCCAAAACTTTTAAAACTATTAGTATTTTCACTGGCATTCAGTTCTACGAATACAAAGAATATAAATATTTTTGCAATCAATTTCCTTTTACTAATATCTCTTAAATTATCTCAAAATATGAGGTTTAGGTCTATATTCTGTGAGAATCTCAAACATAGAGTTTAATTAAGAATTTGATAGACGGTTATGATTGGCAACAATACGTTAGATTAGGGACGAGGTGTTGAGGGGATTATCAAATATAAACTACAGTATTGTTAAATATCGTGAATTGACAGTTCATTTCATTGATATTTAAATTCAAATCATTTACAACCATTTACAATAAACAGACTTTTATCATAAAACAGTTGTAATAATCTCAGAGAAAATGACATCAATTTATGATTATCTTTGTTGTTGTTGTCCACAGCAGAAGACATCGAGAAGTAAAAAAGACAGTCTTAAGGGTTTGAATCAATTCATTTCCAGTGATAATAAGCCTAAGAAGCCTGAATGGGATGACACCAAACTAGGGCTTTCGTAATTTTGGTGTCTTTACTGTCTGTAAATACTGTAGGGCTGGTTGTTTAAGGTCTGGCTTCGCCTACACTACTGTCTGATATCCTAGTTTTAGCAACTGGACATCGATAGCGGAGCCTTCGCTTCGGTGGAGAAGGCCGTCGTCATCAACACGAAGGTTGTGATCGCCGTCAAGAAGATCGAAATCCCTCGAGAGGTTGACGACCCGAAGACCCGCAACAAACGCAAGAGTATTACGACAGACATCAAGAATGAGCTCTTTATACTCCAGAAGATACGACATCCGCACGTCATTAAACTCATCCAACACTTCATTATAAACGACAGACAGACCAACAAAACCATTATATACATTCTGATGCAGTTCGCACCGGGAGGTACGCTGTCGTCCCACTGCAACGCCAACGGCCCTTTCGACGAGCGGATGTGTCAGCAGTGGTTCGCACAGATGTTGAGTGCCCTGTCGTTCATGCACTCCAAGAAGATGGCCCACAGAGACCTCAAACTCTCGAACATTCTTCTCAATGAGAATATGGATGTCTTGGTCAGCGATTTTGGCTTAAGTCGAGTGGTTTGGCGTCAAACTCAGGGCACCATTAACTCGAATACATACTGCGGGACACCACCATACATGTGTACGGCCTAAATATTACGCCCAAATATGACCTTAAATATTACTTAATTGAGTAATTGATTGAAATGATAACTTTTAATATTGAAATTCCCAAAATTGGTTCATTAGCTCCTGAACTGATGAATCTGCCCGAGACTCGCAAAAAGTCCACAAAAGGTTATAACGCGTTCAAAGTGGACGTGTGGGCTATGGGTGTCATTCTGTTCAAGCTTTTCACGAAAGACTATCCCTTCTCTAAAAACAACAAAAGAGCGATCAAACAGATGAAGAGAAAGAAATATAACGATTGTTTGGATGAAAGGAAACCGAGTCCTCAACTCAAGGCCTTCTTTGACAGAATCTTTGTGTTTGAAGCCAACGAAAGACCAAAAATGCAAGACCTCTGCAAAGATGTCTGGATTCGCGACAAGTTTTACGAGAGGGAAGAGAAGACCATTCAACTGATGGATGCCTACACTGATTGAGTCGATAGTCATCTAGTAATACAAGTGCTGATAATCTAAAGTCTTAGTTCTCTGACACTATTTATAAAATAAATCAAATTAAATGTTAACTGCAATAAAAAAAAGTGCACGTTTAGATACAATGAATAAAAGATTATAAATAATTTGAAAATGTTTATAAATTAATTTTTTATGAAAAGACAGACAAAAGTTGTTTTTAATATAAGTTATTAAGACATTATAACTTAAATATCTTTATCTGCCATGAATTGCAAACAACTAAATATAGAATAAATTCATTGAAAGTAATTATATAAACAATTGACTGAAGAATTGAGAAAACAAAGGATTCAATGGTAGAGAAGAGTGAGTGTCGGATATGTTTTGAAGACAACGACG